TAGGTGTAGTAGTACCTCTTCGGGCTCTTGTACACCTTTTTCTTGCTACGTGTGCGTGTTCTTTAGATCCTCAGATGGCTCTAGCACTTTCGTGACCACGGGCCGAGAGTCTTTGCTAGATTTTGGCATTTAGCAACTGGCATACGGTTTAATGTGAAGTCAACAACAACAACAATCAACAACATACATTGCAGCAAAATCAGTCATGGCCTGGACAGTTCCTCCTGAAGCCTGTTGTGAAGTGAAAAAGGGTGGGTTCGAGTGCCCTCGTGGAGCGGATACCGGTAGCAGTGACGATCGGTGGGTGCAAACGTGCACGCGCTTCGTGCTCTTCTTCTTTCTCTGTGTAGATGCTTCAATGAACAGCCCCCCCGGGGAAGACACGCCACTTGAGAATACATCCGTTGTGCGCCCTTGTCCGGCTGCCGACGCCAACCGGCCGGGGTTCAAAGTTGACGTGCTAAGTAAAGCACACAACCGGAGGGAGAAACCACCACAGTGGGCGATGGCCGAGCAAGGGACTCGGTACACGCCCAGCGTGTACCTGTCCGTGACGGATGACGCGAACCGCTGGCGTGCAGGCCCCCCCCGACCGCAGCAACTCACGAACGAATCGAAGGTGGAAGATGATGATAGGATGAACCTGCATCGCTGCTGCTGTCACGTCGCCTCTCGTTTTGATTCCCCCGATTTCCCCATCATTATTCTTCCCTTCTCGTGTCCCGGGTTATTGTCACCCGCGAGGGTTAGGCGGGGGCGTTGGGATCGGCGACAGTCTGTGTGTGTCGACTCACTGACGTTGATCACATCGTTACAGCAAACGCGTAGATTTGTCCCGCGTAGCCTTGAAGGCCAGCTCTTGACCGCGGGTGGCGAGAGACTTCGAATTGTACGTCACGTGACGATATAGTCTACGCGCCGAACTAAAATCGTTTATTTCGATGTCAGCTTGGCGTACTACTGCTACAAGCAGATGCAGAGTGCAGTAGTGTCTATCTCTCGCCTTCAGGCTAAAACACGAGAGCGGGATGGCGGTGGTTGTTGTTGGTATGCATAGGAGCTTCCAATCCTTCTAGCTTTCGAGTGATTTCGTGACAGTTCCGTCTGCCATCCCCCCCGCCGCCAACAAGAGCAGCAGCGGTCTTGCGTAGCGGTGTGGTCGTCGCCCGATGGCACGCTTTTTCTCGTGCTTTTTTCGCGTTGTGTCTTTGTCTCTCTCTTCTCTCTCTGGGTAACTCTGGCGTTGGCTGTTCACGCATCACTAGGATACCAGTCGCTATGAACTCTGTTGACGTGGGTGCTATTCTTGCCCGCGCCACATGACTCCACTTTTGTTTCAAGTCCAAAATTCGACTTGACGGTAGACGCGGGAGAGGAACGCGGGGGGCCCCTTCTCGCGATGAAAAAGACGACTAAGGTACAAACTGTCTTGTTGACCCTGTTGCCCACGGGGGAGATATCACTGCTGTATGCTGCTCGGGAAATCGTCGATGAACAGAACTTTTGCTGACGATTTGGATTCATTGCTAATCTATCTTTGACTTTTCTTCAGAGATGGATTCTGTTTCAGTAAAGAGGAGGTACCTGCCTTCGTTACCTTCCGCCTACCGTAGGTGACATGACGTAAGATACCATACTTCCTGGACCGAACTTCCGAAGCTCGACAACTCCATGCAGAGGGTCCCAAAACCAAGATGATCCGTGTCCGGGAAGCTCTCGACGAGGCGTTTCCAACGCCACTATTGACGTTCGGCACTGGTGTTTTCGCTGCAGCGTCTTCGAGTTTTTTAATATCAGGCCGGGGGCGTCTGGTGTCTGGTGTCATCTACGGAATGTGGTTCCCGCTGGCGCATCTGCAAGCGTAACAAAAAAGTTGTGGAACAATCGACGTTCAGAATGGATGGGGCGACACAGGCGGGAAGTACTTGATCGACGTGCCGTGCTTCACCACCTCTTTGTTGTGTTGGGTTAGCTGGCAGGGGTCGATGCCGTCGAAGATGCCTCCATAAACCCAGGATCGCTGTCGCTTTCACGTGGTTAAGCATTCGATCGGCCCTTTAGATATGGACAAGCTGGGGAGGCCATGTCCGATGCTACGAACACGCAGGACACTATTGTTTCTGTTCTCCCCTCCCTCTCCTCCCACCATCCTGAAGCGTAAGCCTGGGCCGGCGTAAAAGCGCGACATATGTTGTAGCTCCGTCCAGGCGTGGAAGGGATGCGAAGTCAATGGCTACCTACAGCGTGTGTTTGCAGAGTAAACCCACCCAACACCAATAATCAACTCTCCCTGCCCCCGCCGTGGCGATGCTTGTTGTGGAACCCCCCATACTACGGTGTTTTTTTTTTCCTTTTCTGTGTGGTTCCGTCTATCCAGTCCGTTCGCTTTCAGATAAATATGCTCATGTTTTCGTTCATCCCTCCCCCCCCCCCCCCCCCCCCCCCCCCCCCCCCCCCCCC